CTCTCGGCGACCGCCGTGGACAGACGGCTGTGGATTAGAGCTGCGAGCCGGTCCTCCCCCGTTGCAGCACTCGGGTCGAGGGGCCCATTGTGGTGGCAGTCCAGCTCGCTACAGAACGGAGGCTCTAGCTTTGGCCTGCTGCTGGAGGTGGTGAGGCCGTGCGTCGTAACCACGCCTCCGCTGGCGCGAGAGGCACCAGCCAGACGGTGCGTCGTGTTGGCCCCGTCTTCGTCGCTGCAAGTGCCATCACGCCATCGTCATCGTCGCGACCACGTTATCATCACAGACAACCAGCGCTGTCATCGATGTCGTTCGGAGCATGGCCAATTGAGCATCGTGCGCATGCTGGCGGTACGCCATCGACGGCGATCAATGCCGTTGTCGATGACGTCTGGTGATCTTTCACGGCCTCGCCATAACACTCGTCTGAAGTGGGGTTCCGCGGTGCGGATTGTTGTTTCGTTATTGTCGTTGATGGTGTAGTTGTCGTTGTTGATGTCGCTGCTGCTGTTGCTGTTTGTGTTGTTGTTTTTTGTTTTATGGTCATCATTCTTATTATTGTGATTGTCATTGTTCTTGGTGTTGCTGTTGCTGTTGTTGCTGTTGCTGTTGTTGTTGTTGTTGTTGTTGTTGCTGTTGAGTTCGCATGTCTACAGCCTACTTCTGGTTGATTCCCCCGGTGCCCATTGTGTTTTTTAATTAAGTGCTCCTCCCGAGGCTTGCACCCCATTTTTCTGCAAGGGAAGTCTAGGGGCTCAGATTGGCCCTGTGGCCCTCGACTTACAACAGCAACAACAACAATAACAACAATAACACCAACAACACCAACAACAACACAACAATAATAATAATGATAAGTAATACTAACAAACATAATAATAATAGCAACGGCTCCTGCCTGATACTTCCTCACAATTTACTTAGCAATCGCGCTCTCGCGCGGGACTTCCTCACAATGTATGCAAGAATCGCCCTCTTGCGTGTGACTTCCCGCAATTTATTCAAACGCCGCGCCCTCGACACGCAGGAATCACGCTCTCGCTCTGGCTTTTCTCAGTATTTTCTTGGGAATCGCGTGATCGCTAGAGTTTTCTCGGAATTCATGCAGTTCTCAAGCTTCAGCAACCCGCCTGCTCGACCTGGCCGCCTGGGCCCGCCTTCTCGACCCGCCGGTTAGGGTCTACCCGCCCGATCTGCCCATGTAGTTCTGCTATGTTTTTTCTTCGCCTAGCCCCTCCTGCTAATCTCTCTCGTGCTCCATCCTTCTCCCCCCTTTCATTCGTCCTCTTTTCTCTTGTTCAGGGGCTGCGCTAAAAATACGTGGGAGGTAATGAAGATATAACCCCAAGGAGGTGCGATCGAAGACGAACGGGGCAGGTACCGATGGTTTGGGATTTGCGCGTTGAATGGCACGCGAGCAGATAGAAACGATCAGTCTAAAAATGAATGCTTGTTGTTATTGTCGTTCGACTCGCGACCCGGCCCGCGACCCCCCCGCGACCCCCCCGCGACCCACAAGCGACCCAACAGCGACCCCGCGACCCACCCTCGACCCACCCGCGACCCACCTGCGAACTACCCGCGACCCACCCGCGACTCACACCCACCCGCGACCCGCCCGCCCCCGCACTCTTATCTGCTACTGCGGGGTGCTGCATAAGTTTGCCGATGACAGTCGGGCACGTTGTCAATGCCGAACGACATTCTGGCGTCATGTTGTCGCCGCTGCGACGATGACGATCAGCATTGCCGTGCGGCCCTTTCGATGTTTCAGACTCTGACGAGCAGCCCACTCTCAGCCCCACCACAGGAGATAGGCAGATCATCCCACGCCCCGTCGGTACATTGCCGTCGTCATGACGGCCAGGATCCACGAAGTCTTTGCCTGAGCTCACGCAGGACCAGACACTCTCCCCCTCCTCCTCCCATGCCTACCCTTTCCTCCTCCTCCTCCTCCTCCTCCACTTCCTACCCCCCTCTCCTCCTCCTCCTCCTCCTCCTCCTCCTCCTCCTCCTCCTCCTCCTCCTCCTCCTCCTCCTCCTCCTCCTCCTCCTCCTATGCATCAGGACGCGTTCCAGAACGCCCTGAGAGCGTTCCGGAGGGCTGGTGTGGAGCGGCCGCTGCGCCCGATGCATCCTCCAGAACCGCCGCACCTCGGAGACCCCGATCGGTTCCAGTCCGATTTTTTGTCCCCGTCCTGGCTTCTCGTCATTCTCTCGGGCTGCGGCGGGTTCGGGCCAGGACGGTTCCGCGCCGTCCGGGGCCGCTGGGTTTGGAGCTCCTCCCGGGCGCGACGCGTGCGAGGCCTGTGCCGAAGTGGGCGCGGGGACGCCGTGCGAAGCTGAGCCCATTGGTGCCTTAGGTGGAGCTCCTTCTGTCGGGGGTGGACAGACCTCCTACCCTGACACGTCGATTAGCGAATTGGCCGTTTTCGGTTCGCGAGAGGGCGTCGCGGCCGTCATTTTTGCGGGTCCAGGTCCGTCGGTTTCGGTCCCAGGCCGTTTTCGCCAAAGGGTGGTTTATGAAAGGGAGGTTTGTCCACCGCCGATTCTGGGGCATGATTCGTGTGACTAGTGTGCCAACATATGGGCGGGGTGGCGCTGTACGAACCTGTGGGCCTGTAGGTGTGGTGCTCCTCGTGGGCACGATCCGCGTGATGGGGTGTGCCGCAATGGCCAGGGGGTGCGCAATGCGAACCCTGCCTCTGGGGCCATAGGTGGATGTCCCTGTGGGCCACGATCCGTGTGAGAGGTGTGCCGAAGTTGGACGGGGGGCGAGATGCGAACCTTGTCTCTGGGGCCGTCCGTGAACTCCTTGCGGGCCACGATCCGTGTGAGCGGTGCGCCGAAGCGAGCGGAGCAACGCTATGAAGCTTCCCTTTGGTGCCGCACATGCAGTTATTTGCAGGCACGATCCGCGTGAGGGCCCTATCACTATGCAAACCTTGTCTCTGAGCGCGTAGGTGGAGTTTCCTGTGGGTCGCTAAGCCAAGTGTGTCTCTAGGGCCGTCGGTGGAGCTCCCTGAGGGGCACGATCCGTGTGACATGTTAGGTCCTCCGATGTCGGACACTCTAAACTATAACCAGAGAGCTTGCTAGATCCTAAACGATCGCGAAGCGCGCGCGTGTGATTCTAGGCGCCCAGAACAAGATTACACTCCCATGCCGAAGCCAGACTTGCCGCTTTATCGCCGCCGCATTGGGTCTTCATAGAATTCTGCACGATCGGTGATTCGGGTTAAGTTCAGTTATCGAAGTGCGCCATCCCAGCAGCACTTTTATCGACCCTTTGTCAAACACGAGTGTTTCTCAATAATGATCTTGTCAGATCTCTGTGAGCTGGGACTCGCTGAACTCACAAGAAGCCAATACGCAGTTTGTTTTGCAGTTTTGCCAGATTAGACCATGCGGAACACATGCGCGCCCGTGTCGAACACATGCATCAATCATCGCGCACCCGCCGACCTAGTTGATTAATACCATGCGGGCCACACGCCCGGATCACACAGCTCCCGCATCCAGAGAGCGCAAGCTCACGCTGTTTTTGGGCCCGCGCCGGCAAACGCATTCTGGTGTGCTGTCCACCACTCGATTCGTTGGGATGTGGCCTCAGATGCTCAGCGCCCTCCGTTCTTCCTGCTGCTTCTCCTCCCGCTCCCCATGGGCGCCTCGTCTCCGGGCGCCCATCGGGCCCCCCTCCCCTTTGTGGCGCCCCTCTCGGCAGGCGTCAGCATGGGCAACGTCCTGGCCATCTGCGTGGTCGGGACCATCATGACCAACTTCGGGGGGGCCAGGCGGGCCGAGGGAGCGCCGGCGGCGGGGAGAGCGAGGAGGGAGAGCGGGGGAGCGGGGGAGCGCGGGGAGGTTGAGGTGTGTGTGTGTGTGTGTGGAGGCGCTCCTTTGCAAGTACGTCGACTACGGCACCGCCTGATCCCGAGGATTTGCCTCCTCCCTGCCTCGTTCTGAGGCTGCGCCCCCCTTTTCCTCCCCCTTCTCTGGTTAATTCAAGCTTCGCGCGGCCCGCTTAGCTTCGACCAGAAGAGGTGCGCTCTCGACCCGCGAATCAAAAAGTGTATATGTGTGTGTGTGTGTGTGTGGGGCAGGGGCCAAGTGAAGGATTCGGAGGATGAGGAGGAGGAGGAGGAAGAGGAGGAGGAGGGAAAGGGGGAGGTTCTGGGGGAGGTGGAGGGGGAGGGGAATTGATGATGCTGCTGATGAGGATGGTGGTGATAATGGCGAGGACGAGGTGTAGGGCGATGATGCTTATGCAGAAGACGGTAATGCTAGTGACGGCGATGATTCGGATAATGGCAATCATAGTGGCGACGATGATGCTGATGGCGATGATGGTGTTGGCGGGTATGGCGATGCTGCCGATTATTATGTTGATTACGACGTTGGTGACGGTAAGGGTGATGTTCACGAGGAGGAGGATGATTCTGATGTTGTGTTTTTGTGTTTGCATTGCTAATTATTTATTTATTTATACATTGTTATTATGATGAGTATTATTATAGTTTCGATTATTCGTATTCGTATTCTTGTGAGTGACGATGGTGGGCGTGCTGACGATGCTGATGGTTGTGGTAGTAACGATATTGATGCCGACGACGATGCTGATGCCATTGATGATGCTGATGATGATGGTGGTGATGATGATGATGGATGCCATGATGATGACGATGAGGATGATGGTGCTGATGCTGATGCTGATGATGATTATGATGCTGCTTCTGATGGTGATGAGTATGCTTACGATGCTGATGATTACGATGAGGCTGCTAATGATGATTCCAGTGTTGCAGATGGCGATGGCGATGCTGGTGATGATGCGGACGCTAGGGCGATGGTGATGCTGAGTGTGATGATGCTGATGATGACGATGATGAAGATGATGCAGATGCTGATGATGACGATGATGCTGCTGATGATGCAGGTGGTGAGGATGATACTGATGATGACGATGCTGATGCTGATGATGACGATGATGATGATGATGATGATGATGTTGTTGATGATGATGATGATGATGATGATGATGATGATGGTGATAGTGATTGTGATGGTGATGGGGATGGTGATGGTGATGATGCTGCTGCTGATGATGCTGATGATGATGAGGATGATGATGGTGTCGTCGGGTAGAGACATCATCAACGCCATGGGAAGGGAGATGTGGGAGGGGCAGGATGTCAGTTGTGGCGCAAGCGCGCATAGCTTACCCCGCCCCTCTATCCTCCCTCCTCCGCTCCCCCTCCCTGCGATTTTCCTCGGGACGCCCTGCCTCTGGGGTAAAAAGTTCAAGCATCCGCACCGCCACGACGCCGAAACAAGGACCACGACGTCGAAACAAGGACCACGCTGAAACAAGACCCAATCGCGATGCAGTGCGTTCAGGACCGCGAATCGGTCTGAGTCTCTGGATCCCGAATCGGCCCACGCCGAGTCGTGACTCCGGCTGGATCGCGATCTGGTCTGACACGGATCAAGCAGCGTGCAGTCGTGGGTCCACGTCGGGTTCAGGAGGGGCCTCCGGTCTTCGGGCCGTTCCTTAGATCCATTGATGGGCCTGTTTTCCGCCACCGCCACCACGAGTTGGAGGGGGGAAGGAGGAGGACGACGAGGAGGAGGACGAAGAGGAGGAGGACGAGGAGGAGGTGGAATAGGAGGAGGAGGAGGAGAAGGAGGAGGACCCCCTCCCCCTCCTACTTATGGCGGTGGTGGTGGTGGAAAACAGGCCCATCATCCATGGGACGGGGAATCTATTCGTGGACGAGGCTCGGTGTGGCCGGAGAGGAGCTCCTTTCGTTCCCGATCCGGCGGCCCTGACAGTGGAAGCCCATGCCCAGAGACCTCCTGCGTGCCTCCAGGGTGCCCTGGGTTCTTGGATCGCGATGCTTTTGCTGTGGCAAGCGTGACGTTCCCACAGCGAAGATCGACAGGCGTCCTGGGGTCTCGGGGCTGGGCTTTTTTTTGTGGAAGGCTTCTTGTGGTCGAGCTCTTACCGTACGGTCTCACGATGGCTGTAGCCGTTTTGGTTCGAGCAACCTCCGAGCCGAGGACCGAGATGTGCTGGGGACCGCCCGAGCTGGCCCCCCGCACGGGTCCCTGCTGCCGCGCGCCAGCTGCCGGACACGACACCCGCCAGAACCGGTGCCCAGGCGTAGTCTGTTTGCTGGTGGCCGGCGCGTTGCCTGCAAGCTCCTCTGGATTCTCGTCGGGTTTCGATGCAAGAGAGCTGACGACCTCCACGACTTCCCAGACGACCCGGACGCATTCGACGACCGCAACGCCGTGTGTGGACTGGGTGCCCGACGCCTTCGGCTTCGCCGGGGTGGGCCTCTGGACCGACGCGGTCGGCAAGTCCTGCGAGTTCTACGTGGAGAGGGACTGCTTCGACGGGGATCCTGACGACTGGGCGAACAAGTTTCAGAACTACGGCAAGACGGCCAGCACGGCGTGCTGTGGCTGTGGTGGTGGCATGAACGGATATTCCACAACGACAGCGAGTAGTTTCACCAGTGCTAGTAGCACCTCATCGTATTGCGCGGATATCCAGCCCGATGGGGCGGCAAAGTGGTACATGGACGGGATCCCCACGCAAGACTGCACTTTCGCCGCGTTCTACTGCGACGACTACGAGAACGCCAGCGCATTCGGCCACACGCCTGGCGAGGCATGCTGTTGGTGTGGCGGTGGAGTAGGTCTCACCACCACCCGGACCACGAGCACCGATACGTCCACGAGCACCGAGACGTTCACCCAGTCGACGTCATCGAACACGACCAGGTCCACGGTCACGCGCTGCGAGGACTACGTCCCCCTCACCGACGGCCACACTGGCGTCGCCGAGTGGCACGACAGCGCAGGGCCCACCTGGACCTGCGAGGCCTACGACAGCTACGATCTCTGCGCCTCCTCCGGGGAGCGGTACGAGAACTACGGCAGGACTGCCAGCGAGGCATGCTGCGCATGCGGTGGTGGCGTCAACATGCTGAGCACCAGCACCCAGACGGCGACGACCACGACCGACTGCGTGGATCTGGTCCCGAACGGAGCGGGGGAGTTCTGGTACGACTCCAGAGGGACTTTCTACGACTGCACTTTTTACGCCCACGCCTCGATCTGCAACTCCGGCGCCGCCCAGTATGCAAATTTCGGGTACTCGGGCGTGACGGTCTGCTGCGCGTGCGGGGGCGGAACTGGCCTGACGGCCACGAACACCACGCAGACCGCCACGCACACCACGACACGCAGCGTGACGTCTACGGCTTCCAGCACCCCGACGACCGCCACCACGACGTCCAGCACCACGCCGACATCCTCGTCTCATCCGAGGGGCTTCGCCCCCCTGGCCCCGGCCCCTCCTGAGGCCGTCCGCGTGGCTGGGGCGATGGGTGGTTTGGTTGATCGGCCGATCTGCCACCAGACTGGCAACTCGGCTGGTTGGCGGTGTGGGTGGACGGGCGGCAGGCTCGCTGGTGGGATGGTGGATGCGCCTGCTCGCAGGCTTGCGGACTGGCTGGAGGGCTGGCGGGGTGGCTGGCGAGCTCGAAGAGCGGATCCCAGCGGTCTTCTTCGACGGGTCGATGACCCGGGGGCGCGGGCCCGCAGTTCTCCTGCGACAGGGCATGGCCGTCGAAGCGTGGACCCACAGTTTTGCTTCGACGGGTCGTGTCCTCGGGAGCGCAGATCTAGATTCTTTTTCCGAGGGATTTTCGGCGGCGAGCGTGGGGGGAAGCGAGAAGGAAAAGACCCCCTCAGAAGGCGGCGGGGCTTCTCAGAAGCCCTCGCGCCTCCCGAGGAGTTTTCCGTGTCTTTTCGGGGGAGCCTCGGAAGACTCTTCGGAAGGCCGGGGGGCCTCCGAGCCCTCTGGGAAGGCCTTCTCCTTCTCGCTTCTCCCCCGACGTTCGGCCTTCTTCTCCCTTCTGGGACGGCCTCTCCTTCTCACTTCTCCTTCTGGGAAGGCCTCTCCTTCTCACTTCTCCTTCTCCTTCTCGCTTCTCCCCCTCGCTCGCCTCCGACGTTCGGCCCCCGGGGCGCGGGCCCGCAGCCCTCCTGCGAGGGGGCCCTGGCCCCCTCGAAGGCGTGGACCCACAGGTTCTGCCTCGACGGGTCGTGCCCTCTCGGGAGCGCAGGGCCAGGCTCTCTCTCTCTCTCTCTCTCTCTCTCTCTCTCGAAGGAGGAGGAGGAGGAGAGAGGAGGAGGAGGAAGAGGAGGAGGAGGAGGAGGAGGGAGGAGGAGGAGGAGGAGGAGGAGGAGGAGGATGAGGTCCTCTCGCCGAGGGACCTGCCTTCGGCGGCGAGCGAGGGGGGGGCAAAGTGGGAAGGAGAAGGCCCTCGCAGAAGGCGGCGGGGCCCCTTGCAGAGGCGCTCGCCGCGCCTCCGGGGCGATCTTGCCGAGGGGATCTGCCCGTCTCGGGAGTCCCCAGACGGGGTGGTGACCACACACCGTGCGGCGAATCGGTGGGGATTTCGAGGCCACCGCACGGTTTGGGACTCGGGTCGTGCTCCGAGGACGTCTCGGGCGACAGGGGCCTCCTGGGTCCCCGAGACCGTGCGGTGCCGGACCGAGCGGTGAGATCTCTTGGGGGATTTCGAGGTCACCGCCCGGTCCGTCGCCGCACCGCTTCGGGACGCCAAGCTGTCTGGGCCTCCCTCGTGGCCTCGAGGGGCGCGGCCTCGTGGGCCGCCGTGCTCTCGCTCGGGAGGGGGGCGCGGCCTCGGGAGGGGGCGGGCCCACATTTTTTTTGTTTTTTTTGTTTTTCCACGGCGGGCGGCGGCCTCGCGATCCTCGTCCTCCTCCTCCTCCTCCTCCTCCTCCTCCTTCTCCTTCCCTCCTCCGCCTCCTCCTCCGCTTCCTCCTCCTCCGCCTCCTCCTCCTCCTTCTCCTTCCCTCCTCCGCCTCCTCCTCCGCTTCCTCCTCCTCCGCCTCCTCCTCCGCCTCCTCCTCCTCCGCCTCCTCCTCCTCCGCCTCCTCCTCCGCCTCCTCCTCCTTCTCCTCCTCCTCCTCCGCCTCCTCCCCCTCGTGACTGCGGACTGTCTTGCCGAATCGGCAGCCTTCGGATTCGCGATCGCGGCGGCGCAGAGCCACCGATGCTGCGAGAGAGGCCGCAGCCTCGGGAACGCAGCCTTCTGCCAGGGGATCGCGGCCTCAGGTCGGGTATAACCAGGACCCCGGTTAAGGGGAGCCGGTTAGTGATTGGTCCCCGAAGCCTGGTCAGTGATTGGCCCCCGCAGCCCCAAATACGGATTGGGATCACTGAGCCAGGTCTGCCGTGGCTAATGCTTTTCGGGTTACGGCAGTCCCGGTGAGTGGAATGGGACGGGGGGGGCGCTCCCCGGTACACATCATCTAACCAGGTCCCACGAAACTCAGTTCTGCCAACGCCCGATCAGATCAGGGGCGGCAGCGAGCCCCGCGGGGGGAGGCGAGGAGGGGCGGGGGCCCTCTCCACAGGCTCGGAAGGCCCCCGGCCTGCTGCGGAGTGCCCGAAGCCTCCCCCCGCAGGCGCAGAGAGCCCCTCTCGCCGAGCGCGGTCCACTGCTCGCAGAGTGCCTATTCGCAGACGTCCGAAACACACATGTTTGCTTTGCTGTAATCCATCGTAGATCCCCCGCGGGGGATCCAAGCCATCTGCGCGAGTAGTTACTCTGCGAGTAGTGGAGCGCGCTCGTCGACTCTCAGAAGGCCCCGCCGCCTTCCGAGAAGGCCTTCTGCTTCTCACTCTTCCCCCCTCGCTCGCCGCCGACAGGGAGCGCGCATCCGCCTTTTTTTCACAGCGGATCGTGGGTTCGGGGGCGCTAGCCCACAGGTTTTTTCAGGAGGGGAAAAAACACACAGACACAATTCATCGTCGATCCCAAAGAAAATATGGGAAAATATGGGAAGTGGGGGGAAGACAGAAACCCAGAAACTACAGGAAAATGTTGGGAATCCTTTGATCTGTGTGTATTTATTTGTGTGTCCTGGGGCCCCTTCATTTTTACAGGAGTGATTGGGGCTCCAGGGAGGCGGGCCCCTTCTTCGTTACGACGGACCGTGGCCCGACGGAGCGCAGGCCGACGGGTTTGCACGAAAGACCTGTGGCCTCCGGGGCGCGGACCCGTGGCCCGTGTGATCGCCGGGGATCGTGGCTCGAGAGCGCGGGCCCACGGGTGGTCACGAGGAGCCTGGCCCGCGGGTGTTCACGAGGGATTCGAGAGTTCTTGCTCGAAGCGAGATGTCCTCGGGAGCGCGGGTCCATTTTTTGGTTTTCTCTTCCGCTAGGGTTAGGTCGGGCCTGTCCCCCTACAGGGGGATGTTCGACGAAAAATAAAAGATACCCCACAAATAATCAAAACATCGTCCAAAAATAGTCGGGGGACTATTGTTGGAGTATTGTTTGACCTGTTTGGGGTATTTTTAGGGTATTTTTTGAATTTTTTCGTCGAAAGCCCCCCTGTAGGGGGACAGGCCCGACTTAACGCTATGGATCGTGGCCTCGGGAGCGCGGACGCACAGTTTGTCGTGCAGCGGACCGTTGCCTCGGGAGGCGCCCGCGTGCCGTGCTGCCTCGGGGGGTCGTGCCCGCGGGAGGGCGGGGCCCAGCGTCTCTTCGACAGGATCGTGGCCTCGCGAGCGAGGATCGCGCGTTTTCTGTTGTGCACATTGTTCACTTCTAGTTCTTCGAAAGTTCCGTGTTTTTTTGGGGACCAAGATCCTTTTCATTTCTGATTGTTCTGTCTGGGGCCTCTTCCTGGCCACTAGGGGGCCTGGAACAGTTAGAAACGAGCACCGTCAGAAATGAGCACGACTAGACATGAACGACGTGTACGTGCTCCCACGCCACCAGGAGCCCAGGGAGTCTTTGTCGGAGGAGGCAGAACGCTGCACTTCAGGGCCGCGAGGGCTCGCGCGCGTGCTCGGGACACTGCGGCTCTCACGGCAGATCGCGGCCGCCGAGCTGCTCAGCTCTCTATCGAAGAAGGACGACTGCATGACCATGGACCGAAGGAGCTCCGCGCGCAGTTCTTGGATTGGCGCCAGGGAGACCCCAGCACAGATCCAAGAAGTCCGCGCGGCCCGACGAAGTCTGAGTGCATGCCATTTTGTCGTCCGTTACACGAGGGGAATGCGATGTTGCAATTTGCACCTTTGTGCTGACGCAGACCAAGTGCGCAGCCGCTGCAGCCCCCAGTCCACGCACAGCCCGATGGCCCCACAAAAAGGGGACCGGTGGATTCCCCGACTGCGACGGCGTCGACCCTGACGGTGTCGACTGCGACGGCGTCGACTGTGACGACTGCAACCGCGACCCAGTGTGGCAATTTGAAGAAGAAAAACGGAACAAGCATAATTTTTCAGAGCTCCTCGCGGGTTTCTTGGATTTGGGCTGGCACCCCCTGGCGGTGCATCCGGCGCCGCCCCTGGCGCGCGGCGCGCGCCAGGGAGAGGCGCTTCAGCGCAGATCCAACAAATCCGCGTGGATCTTCAGAAGTTTATGTTTATGCAGTTTATTCTTCCTCTAGCAATGTCGGCTCGTGGTACGATTTGCTGGGGGAAGCCTACGACTGCGAGTGGTACGCAGACAACTTCGAGCACTGCGGAGAGTTTGCGTTGGCAGGTCTCAATTTCAATATGACTGCCAACGATGCCTGCTGTGCCTGCGGTGGCGGGGTCGGTTACCCGCCGACCACCACGCACACGGCCACGACCACCACCGTCACCACGCACACGGCCACGACCACCACCGTATGCGTGGACTGGCAGCCGACATACCTGGACCCTTGGGAGGACGTGGACGGCAACGGCTGCACCTACTACGAGCGCATCTTCTCGACACTCGGGGGCTGCCTTGGCCCCGCGGGGTTCGGCAGGGTGGCCACCGAGGTCTGCTGCGCCTGCGGCGGCGGGACGGGTCTGACAGCGACGAACACCACGGCCACCTCCACGAGCACCACCTCCTCCACGGCCACCGCTTCCTCCACCACGAGCATGGCCAGCACCACCGCCTCCTCCACCGCGACGAGCTCAACGGATACTTCGTTTTCCAGCACGGGCGTTACCTCGTCACTTACCACTTCGACGGAAACCAGCTCATCGCGCACGAGCATATCGGGCACCGCCAGCAGTACCACTTCGATCAGCAGAACCTCTGTAAGCAGCACCTCCGCCAGCAGTACATCGGCCACCAGCACCTCGGCCAGCTCGTCCACCACGGTCACGACATCTACGCAGTCATTGACCGTAACGTCTCAGACCGCCAGCAGCACCCTGTCCACGGCAACGCCGTGCATGGACTATGTGCCCGCGGTCGACGGGTATGACAGCGACGTGTGGTATAATAGCCAAGGCGCACTCTTTGACTGCAACTTCTATGTTACCTACAAGCTCTGCAGCACTCCAGATGATTTCTTGAACTTCGGGAGAACACATTTCGAGGCATGCTGCGAGTGCGGCGGGGGGATGAACATCAAGTCCACGTCGGTCACGGGCACGACAGTCTCGACATTCTCCTTGACTGATACTTCCCGGACGGCCTCCACACTGACTGCCATAACCATCACGACCAGCACCACCACGTCTGTATCGTTTACTAGTGCAACTTCCACCGCGACTGATACAACATCCACGGCGACGACCTCCACTGTGACGAGCATCTCTTCTGAGACAGTCACTTACACTTCGTCGATGACCTCCACGCAGACCACCGCCACTCAGACAACCGTAACTTCCACCGCGACTGATACAGCATCTACGGTGACGACCTCCACAGAGACGAGCACTTTCTCTGAGACAGTCACTCACACTTCGTCGACCACATCCACGCAGACCACCGCCACTCAGATAACCGTAACTTCCACCGCGACTGATACAACATCAACGGTGACGACCTCCACAGAGACGAGCACCTTTTCTGAGACAGTCACTCACACTTCGTCGACCACATCCACGCTGACCACCGCCACGCAGACGACCGACTCGCAGACAACCGCCACGCAGACTACTGTAACTTCCACCGCAACTGAAACAACATCTACGGCGACGACCTCTACAGAGACGAGCACCTTTTCTGAGACGGTCACTCACACTTCGACGACCACCGCCACGCAGACCACCGCCACGCAGACGACCGACTCGAAGACCTCCGACACGCAGATTACCGTAACTTCAACCGCGACTGGTACAACATCTACTGTGGCGACCTCCACAGAGACGAGCACCTTCTCTGAGACGGTCACTCACACTTCGTCGACCATGTCAACGCAGACCACTACCACGCAGATTTCTGCAACTTCAACCTCGACTGGTACAACATCTTCTCCGACGACCTCCACAGATACGATCACCTCGTCTGAGACAGTCACTTACACTTCGTCGACCATCTCCACGCAGACAACCGCCACGCAGACTACTGTAACTTTCACCGCGACTGGTACAACACCTACGTCGACGACATCCACAGAGACGAAGACGAGCACCTCTTCTGAGACAGCGACTTACACTTCATCAACCACCGCCACGCTGACCACCTCCACGCAGACCACGGACACGCAGACCTCCGCCTCGCAGACTACTCTAACTCTCACGACCTTCACGCAGACCACAGAGTGCGTGGACGAGGTTCCCAACAGCACCGCGGCGTTCTGGTACGACAGCCGGGGCACGGACTACAACTGCAGCTACCACAACACGTCCGACCTCTGCGCCCCTCAGGGGGGCCCGTACGTCAACTTCGGGCGCACGGCCACCGAGGCCTGCTGCATCTGCGGCGGCGGAGTGGGGATACCGAATCCCACTCTGGCTCCGACGCCAGAACCTACGCCAGAGCCCTCTCCGGCTCCGACCGAGGCACCCAGTGCAGCTCCGACTCCAGCTCCTACGCCTGCGCCTGCACCAGTGCCTACCTCAGCTCCGACTGCAGCGCCCACTCCACGGGTGGTATCGACTACACTGACCTCCCCAGTAAATTCAGGTGAGACAGAGCTGCCTGTGGACTCCACGGAGGGCTTCAGTGTTGGCGACACCGCCGTGATCGAGGGCGGCGGCTTAAGTGAGTTGGTGGTCATTGCGAGCATCGGGTCGCTTGTGCTGTCCAGCGGCACGACAAACAGCTACCCCGCCAATTCCACCGTCACCTTGTACGTCACCACGACCGCTACGTCGACATTAACAATCACGTCGGCGAGTGGGTCGTCGACGACCAGCGCTACCACGGTCACGGCGACCACTGCCTCGACGACCTCAGCCTGGACGGCCACGTTCTCATCAGGCTCATCGAACTTGACGTTGACCTCGGCCACCTCGATCGGCACGACGTTGACGCTCACCAGCTCGGCGTCGAGCGGCACCACGGCGTCGTCCACGGTGACCGCGACTACGCCGACGCTTGCGACCCCGTCGCCCAGCAGCAGCCCGGGCGGTCTGCTCGCGGGCGTCGGCCTCGGCGGCCTCGAGGCCTGGCTCGGGGACCTGCCGACGGCCGCCCTCGTCGGCCTCGCCGCTGGCGCCGTGCTGGTCCCCTGCGGCGCCGCGCTGGCGGCCGCGAGGGTCTGCTGCGGCCGCGGCGGCCGCGGCGAGCCGAGGGGCAAGCAGTCTGCATGGGTCGACGACCTGGAGGACTGCTTCGTGGCCTGACCACGGTTTTTGTTTGCCGGGTGCCGAGCCTGCTTCGGGAGCAGTGTCTCTCTGTGCCTCGCAGTAGTTCGACCACTTTCAGCAGCAGGGCGTCTTGGCGTCTCGCGCGCATGTAAAATCCGCACGCCATGGGTTGCCGTCGACCCTCGATCTAGAGGGCGCCTGTGTGGACCTGTGCCCTCGCCGCCGCAAACCGCAAGATGGACGCGGCCGCCACGAGCGCAGGGCTGGATCGACCCGCAGTCGGCTTCCGATGTGCGCCGCGTCTCAGGCTCCGCCAGAGTGATCGGAGCTGGCGGCGCCTAATCTGTGTATCAGATTCTGGCCGCCATGGTGGTTCTGTTTGTGTTAACTTCATCAAGCGCTTTCGGCGGGGACTCCCAGCACGGGAATATGTGGCTACTCTACGTTATCCTCTTTGCCCATCTCTCCATGCTCCCTGCCCCGTTCTTCGATTCCCCTGTCGCCTTCTGCGAGTTCTGCTCAGAGTGTGGCCCGTCCCTTCCCAAAAGGGGCCAAAGTGGCAGGCTTGGCCTTCTCTGATGTAGGTGCCGCCTTTCTCCGTTACGGACGGTGACGGCCAGGAGGAGGTCGTGGCTAGGCTTCTGCGCCTTATGTGTCGTCATGCCATTCTTCCTGCCATACCATGTCCTGTTCATCTGCTTCGAGATCCTGTGCCCCGCGTTCAGCACCAGTGTGCGGCAGGATCCTCAAGAAAGGCTCCGCGCGGTGCTGCAGACGCCTCTTCCGCGCTTTCCGCCACAGCCTGCCTCCCCGCGTTCCCCCGTCCACCGTGTCCACCGCCCCCCCGTCCCCCAGTCCTCCAGTGCCCCGGCCCCCCCGTCTCCCTCCTCCTTTCTCCTCCCTCCTCCCCGCCCCCCCACCCCCTCCCTCCCTCCCTCCCTCACTCCCTCCTCACCCCTTTTCCTCCCTCCTCTTTCCTGAAAGTGACCCGCCTTCTTCGTGTACGTTTTTCCCAGCCCCCCTGCGTTGGGTTCTGTTTTTGAGTAGAGCGCTGCGGTCGCGACCTTCCTTCCTCCCGCCTCTTCCCTTCTCTCTTCCCTCCTCCTCTTCTCTTCTGCCCCTGACCTGTCTCTTTCCTGCCTGTCAGCCTGCCTCCTACCTTGCCGTCCTACGTGACCTCGCCATCACTGGGGGCCTGCGAACTGCGAAACTGTCGCCACTTTCGAGGGCTGCTGGGGGTTCGAGAGGAGTGGCGTCATACGCAGACTTAGAATGGACTTCGCCATTCCCAGGGGGGCTGCGATCAGGAAGCAGTCGCCACTTTCGAGGGCGGCTGGGGGGTCCAGCGGAGTGACTTCCCACGCGCATCTAACTTAGACCCCGCCATCGCGGGGGCCGCTGCGGTCTGCGAAGCTGTCGCCACTTTCGAGGACTCAGTGACGTGCCACGCAGGCCTAAATTAGGCCTCGTCATCCCTGGGGGGCTGTGCCTAGCGAAAACGTCGCCACGTTCGAGGGCTGCTGGGGGGTCCAGCGGAGTGACGCCCCACGCGTATCTGAATCAAACCTCGCCATGCCCGGGGGGCTGCGATCTGCGAATCCGTCGCCACTTTCGAGGGCTGCTGGGGGGTCCAGCGGCGTCACGTCCCGCGCGGATCTGAGTTAGACCTCGCCATCCCTGTGGGGCTTCTGACTGCGAAACTGTTGCAACATTCGAGGTTGCTGGGTGGTCCAGCTGAGTGACGTCCTACGCAGACTCATATTCGACCTCGCCATACCTGCGGGGGCTGCGATCTGCGACACTGCCGCCACTTTTGAGGGCTGCTGGCGGATCCAGCGGAGTGACGTCCCACGCAGGTTCAGATTAGACCTTGCCACACCTGGAGGGGGTGCGATTTTCGACACTGTCACCACTTTCGAGGGCTGCCAGCATAGTGTGTACCAGGCGCGGGTTCAAATAATACCTCTCCGTCCCTGGGGGCTACGATCTGCGACACTGTCGCAACTTTCGAGGGCTGCTGGGGGTCCAGCGGAGTGGCGTCCCACGCTGATCTAAATTAGACCTCGCCATCCCTGATCCCTGGGGGGCTGCAAATTGCACGGCCGTCGCCACTTTCGACTGCTGCTGGGGGGTCCAACATACGGTACCATGTGCATATTCATATTCGACTTCCCCATCTCTGGGGGGCTGCGGACTGCGAAACTGTGGCCACTTTCGAAGGCTGCTGAAAGGGGACAGCGGAGTTGGTACCAGGCGCAGATTCAGATTCGACCTCCCCGTCCCAGGGTGGCTACGACTTGCGAAACTGCTGCCACTTTCGAGGGCTGCTGGGGGGGCAGCATGTGGGTACCAGGCGCCGATCCAGATTAGACCTCGCCATCCCGGGGGGCGAGTGGGGGGCGCTGCGAACTGCGAAGCCGTCGCCACTTTCGAGGGCTTCTCAGGGGGCCAGCATAGTTGGCACTAGGCGCAGACTCATATTAAACCTCTCCATCCTTGGGGGGCTGCGAATGGGAAAACTGTAGCCACTTTCGAGGGCTGCTGGGGGTGGGGGGCAGCGGAGCGGGTACCAGGCGCAGATTTAGATTAGACGTCTCCAGACCTGGTGGCTGCGAACTGTGAAACCTTCGCCATTTTCGGGGGCTGCTGGCGGGGCAGCACAGTGACGTCTTGCACGGACTCGAACTCGTTTTGGCTCCCTGTCCCGCGGACCACCCGAAGACCTGGTGACGCGCCTGTGGGCGTTGAGGTCCCGCGCTGCAGAATGCAGGGAGGAAGCAGAGAACCTGACGGTCGAGCTCGGTCTCGCCCGCTTCTGGCACTACCTATGGACAGCTGATCCTTTGTAGCGCCAAAGCGACATGGCGCAGGCCGCGCTGCTTGTCCACCGTGCCAGTGGAAAAATGATCGCCGCCCTCCTTCCTCATCCGGCCTCTTTCGTCGTCGTCCTCTTCGCCCCTCTACCGCCTCTCTGCTGACGTCAAATTTTCGGCCCCTCTTCTGCCGTTTTCTCGGCCCCTCGTTCCCACCACCATTTCCTCTTCGAGCCTGGGGCTTCAGTTTTCGATCTTCAATTGCTGCCTTGTGAATCGTGCAGCGCGCGCGCTTCCCATACTGCTCGCGCAACCAATGACAGATCTTGTGTTACCATCAACCATACTATTCTGGACCAGCTCCTCGTGTCACGTAGGGCAGATGGGTTGGGTACATCGAAGGGTCATCTCCCCTTCCCTCCTGCGTTAGGTTTTCTTTTTAAATAGAGCAGTGTGGTCCCCACCTCCTCCTCTCCCGCCTCCCTCCTCCGTTGCTCCTCTTGCACTGCCCCTTGGGTGGCAGCGAACGGCGCAGCTGTCGCCACTTTGGGCTCCTGGGAGGCTCGGCGGAGTAGGGGAGTACGCGCACCCAGCCGAGACCTCGCAACTCCTTGGGTGGGTGCGAACTGCGCAGCTGTCACCACTATCGTGGGTTCTTGGGAGGCCCAGCGGGGAGGTGCTATACGCGCACCCGGACTAGACCTTGCAGTTCCCTGGTAGGCTGCGAACTGCGAAGCTGTCACCACTTTCTTGGGGTCTTGGGAGGTCCAGCGGGGTGGTGTCATACGCACACCCAGACTGGACCTCGCGCCTCCCTGGGGTCTGCGAATTGTGAGGCTGTCGCCAGTTTTGTGGACTCCTGGGAGGTCCAGCGGAGAGGTCTCATACGTACATCCAGAGTAGACCTCGCGCCTCCCAGGGGGACTGCGAAGTGCGGAACTGTCACCACGTTCATGGGGTCTTGGGAGGTCCAGCGGGGTGGTGTCATATTCACACCCACGATAGACCTCGCGCCTCCCTGGGGGGCTGCGAACTGCGAAACTTTCGCCACTGTCGTGGGCTCCTGGGAGGTCCAGCGGAGTAGTGCCATGTGCAAGCCCAGACTACACTTCGCAGCTCCCTGGTTGGCTGCGAACTGCGAAGCTGTCGTCACGTTCGTGGGCTCCTGGGTGGTCCAGCGGAGTGGTGTCATCCGCACATCCAGGCTGGCTCTTGCGGCTCCTTGGGTGGCTGCGAACTGCGAAACTGTCCCGGCTCTCGCGGGCTCCTGGGAGGTCCAGCGGAGCGGTGTCATACGCGCACCCAGACTAGACCTCGCGGCTCCTTGGGGGGCTGCGAACTGCGAAGCTATGACCACTTTTGTGGGCCCCTGGGAGGTCTAGCGGAGTTGTGGCATACGCTTTCAGGGATTAGGCCTCGCGGCTCCCTGGGGGGCTTGCTGCAATCGGCGCCCTCGCGCTAGACACTGACGGAATTACGATGCTGTTTTGCATCAGCGGTGGTCCGTCGGACCTGGAGAGACCTTCTCATGATGTGCAGTCGTTCCCCTCGCTCCTGGGAGGTCCAGCGGAGAGGTATCGTGCGCATATTCAGCTTAGCCCTCGTGGCATCCCGGAGGGCTGCGATCTGCGCAACGGTCGCCATTTTCGTCGGTTCCTGGGAGGCCCAGCGGGGAGGTGCCATACGCACACCCCGGACCAAGCCTCGCGGCTCCCTGGTGGGCTGCGCACTGCGAAGCTGCCACCACGTTCGTGGAGTCTTGAGAGGTCCAGCGGGGTGGTGTCATGCGCACGGCCAGGCTGGACCTCTCGGCTCCCAGGGGGGCTGCGAACTGCGAACCAGTCGCCACGTGCGTGGGCTCCTGGGAGGTCCAGCGGAGTTGTGGCATGCGCTTGCAAGGGACCAGGCCTCGCGGCTCCTTGGGGGCTCACGTGCTGATACCTGCGCCCTCGCGCTGGGCGCCACCCGAATTACGGTACTGCGTTGCATCGGCTGTGGCCCTTCGGACCCGGAGAACACACCATCATGTGCAGTCGACTCCTTCCTTGGTTGCCAGACACCCGCGGAACTCGGGCACTCATTTGCGTCAGCGGTGGCCCTGCACACTCGCAGAAAACGTTATAGTTTGCAGTCGATTTCCCCTCTCTTGCGCCAGACACCCAGGTTGCACGTAAACCCAGACGAGACCTCGCGGCGCTCAGCGAGGATGCCGACTGCGCAACTGTCTGTACTTCCGTTGGCAAGAGGGCTGCATATCTCGCATTTTTCTTGTTTTTTGTAAACGGAGCGCGTCTTTCGATAGTTGCCGCATATGGAGAGAAGGTTGGGTACGCCTCGGGCAATTACACAGCATTCAATTGATGGGCTTTTCTTTTGCTTCAGTCGGATTGTTCTCGGTGTTTCAAAATAGTGTTCCCGCTGAAGCATGGGCCTCATGTTAGAGTCGGGGCTTCCGAATCTCGAGGTGGCCTGGGCAGTTTCGACGAGTTCCCTGCAGCAGGTCCGTGTCCTGAGGGTATCGTTTGATCGTCCCGCGGCCCGAACAGCGCTCCCCCCCCGGGGGCAGAAATGAAGAAAACACACTTGTATTCAAAATGGTGACCA